TCTGCCATGAGGGAGTCGAGCCCTGGGAAGAGCCCAGCAGCACCTCTGGGAGCTGGCCCGGAGGGGCTGCTTGCTAGTCCGAGCGCGTGCTGGTTTCCTTCGAAACGCTGGGAGACATTCAAGAGCGGTGGCGATGCCAGGCTCACTGCTCGAAGACTTTGCAAAGAGGCACAAAAGGGACTGCCCAGCAAGCGTGGGAATGGGGCGGCCTCAGTCCCCTCGACAGCTGGGGAAACTGAGGCAGAGCGCGGACCAAGTGAGAACCCACCAGTTTGGTGGCCGTGTCCCCAGAACACCCGCACCCTGCCCAGAGAAGACCCCCAGACACAGGGCCAGCAGCTGCCTACATCCCACCGGGCTCCCACACCTGCTGGGTTTTGGCATGGAGAGGCAAGGGGAAAAAAAAAAAGCTGTCCCTGCCGGCAAGCAAGCCAGGCCAAGAGGAGGATCTTGGACAATGAAGAGGTGTTTTGTCCCAATTTCTTCCCATGGCCTCATGCAACCATGGAAGCGAGGGGCTCAGCAGCCCTGGGACGCTCTGTTGCGCTGAGAGCCCCCCGCCCTGCACAGCTCCAGGGGTGCTGCTCATCGGGGCTCCCTGGAAGGGTTTTGGGGAGAGGTCCCCTGTGACCCTGGAAGCCCTGAGCATCAGCCAGAGCCACCTCCCACCCCAGGTCCCCCTCACCTTTCGGCACCCGTGGTCATCCTCCTCCTTCTCCTGGCTCACCCGACCGGGCTTTTTGCAGATGGACGGCAGGGTCTGGTTGCAGGGGCTGTCGTTCCACCTCCCTTCCTGCACAGCGGCGAGGAGAGCAGGATTCAGCCCATGGGACAGCCTGGGGAATTTCCCAGCCCATCCATCCCCACTCTGGGTCCACAGAATTTCCTTTGCTCCAGAAAATCCCCAGGGATGCTGTGCTGGAGCCCTCCCATCCCAAGAGCCAGGATGAGCCACGTTCAACCCCAGCTGGAGATGTTCCCTGAGGTTTCCCTTCCCCGGCCACAAGGATGTTCTCCTCGGAGGTGCAGGATGAATCCCCCAGCCCAGGCTCTCACCGGTCCCCAGATGGTCACACAGTCTTCCAGGCTGTCACGGAAGTTGTTGGGCTCAAAGGGGTGCCAGTACGTGAACCTCACGGGCGTCCCATCCGACCACTCGAAGTTCATCTGCAGCTTGAGGTCATTTAGGCCAATCCAGAGCTCCTCCACGTCTGCCGAGACAGGAGGGTCAGGGGGTTAAATCCCCTGTTCCTGGCTGAAATCTTGCAGAACGCCTGAAGTCCAGACCTGCAGGCTCAGACCCAGTGAGCTACTGGTTTGCAATGACTCCCTCCCACCCTCTGCTCAGGCTGAAACTACCCAGGTATCACCCCAGCTCCAACACATCCTGACGCAGGAAACTTCAACCCAATTCCACCTGCGTGAAGCCAGAACTGGAAAGAGAAAGCTGGGACCCCGTGGGCAGGTGTTGCCCCTGGACCTGCTGTGGTGAACACTCGTGTCCTGGGTTGATTCAGCCGGAAAAAGTGCAGCCT